ATGTTGAGTTTGTTGACATGCAAAGCGTGCCTGTGCTATTCAATGATAGGCCTTCATTTAGTGAGATGGTTGCAAGGGCTCGGAAGGAGCTACATTGCTTTGGAGATCATGTCATTGTAGTTGATGGTGTACTGCACCTAGGTTATCCTCCCAACATCCTTAGGCAAATGATCTCAATTGGTTGTGTGGATCAATAGGAGAACTATGTGAGATCGGCTATGAAGAGCCAGCTGCAATGTTTGGACGTGGTTGTGCGTCGGGTGTTAGTTGATCCCATCCCTCATGGGTTTTCCCCACCAATGGATCAGCAGGCACACATCAACCCTTCCATTTTGGAACCTTATATGGATGTGGAGATTGCACCTACGGTTCCCGATGCTCAATCTGCCCCCAATACGGTAGTTGGAGATGCTTGTCAGACTCATGTTTTCATGGTAGATCCTCCTCATGAGATCCCTTTGACACAGAATCATCCGAATAAGTGTCTTAACCGCATGGTTTTTGGGAGCTAACCCTTTCCTTACATCTATTTTTTCATTCTTCCCTCATTTCTCTACTTATGTTGCAGGAGACATTCCTAAGAATGTGGATGTGCCCCCTATTGCTGCGCAAGTGCACTTTGGAGATGGATTCCGTGGCTCCAATAGTGTTGAAATTATGCATGATTCGGAGCTATATGAGATGGCTAGGGCTCTTGATTCTGATGATGATCGCCCTGTTGGAGAGCTGACAGAGAGTGATGTTGAGATGTTGAGGCGTATCTTTCCCGGCCGTCGTGATCCAAGAGTTCACGAGTTCAGCGATCTTGCTCATTTCGATCAGGCGTTTGTAGAAGGACGTGATGATGAGCTTCTAGAAGCTCCTGAGGCCGGTCCTAACATGGTAATTGAGAATGGGAGGGTGTTCAATGACCTCCCTGCATTGAAGAGGTGGTTGCAGGCTTTTGTAGTGATACGAAAGAGACCTTACAAGGTATTACATTCATATGTGGAGCACCGTTACACAGTTGTGTGTGACAAGGAACGTTGCCCATGGAGGGTTTGTGCAAGGAAGCAACAGATCACTAAAAAATGGAAGATCACAAAAGTTGTCAGGCCACACAATTGTGCTGACCATGAGCTAACACTGAGGCATCGGCAATTGACATCTACCCTCATTGCCAAGCGGTTGATGGGAATTTTGCAGGGAGAACCCAACATGAAGGTAAGGACAATTATCAGGACCGTTGATGCATTGTATGGAGGTTATGTGATAACTTATAGTAAAGCGTAGAGGGCTAAGCAGCGAGCATGGAAGATGATATATGGGGACTAGGAGGATGGGTATGAGCAGCTGCCAGTTCTTTTCAATGTAATCAAAGCGGTGAATCTAGGCATGCATTATGAGTACATCCCAAAACCAAATACATGGAAGGATGGGAGGCAGATATTCTTCCGTGCTTTCTAGTGCTTCCCTCAGTGTGTCGAGACCTTTAGGCACTGTCATCCCGTCTTCTCCATTGATGGTACGTTCTTGATTGGCAAATACCGAGGCACACTTCTTATAGCCATATCCTGTGACACGAACAACAAGTTGGTTCCTTTGGCATTTGCTTTGGTTGAGAAGGAGAACAATGATAGTTGGGGATGGTTCTTGAGGATAGTCTGGATACACGTGGTTGGGCCTGGCAGGGAGGTTGGCGTCATATCTGATAGGCACCAGGGCATACTTAATGCTGTGCGAGAGCAGATAGAGGGTTATGCACCTTTGCACCATCGTTGGCGTACTCAGCACCTTGCCGAGAATCTACTCCGGAAGGATGGTGTGAAGGGTAACTTTGATCTGTTCCAGGAGGCTGCTCGATAGCTTGAGGACAAGTACTTTCAGAAAAAGTTGGAGCAGGTCAGAACCGCATTAAATGCAGAAGGTAGACAATAGACATAGGTTTGATGAGGGATTTAGAGAACTGGACGAGAGCTCACGATGTCGGTGGATGGAGGTACGAGTTTCAGTGTAGCAACATGGCGGAGTCATTCAATAAGTTGCTATTGGGGATACGTGATATGCCTATGAATGCAATCGTTCAATTCACCTTCTATGAGCTTGTTGCCTGGTTCAACGATAGACACACCCATGCATTGCAGTTGCGGAGTGATGGAGAGATATGGGCTCCGAAACCAAAGGCACACCTAGAGAAGGCAAAAGAAAGGGCTGGCACACATGAGGTTACATGCTTTGACCATGCCACAGGGACTTATCAGGTCGAGCATAGGGGCGGTACAATGTCTGACGACGAGGTCCGAGAGTCGAGGATGCATGTGGTTGTACTCCAAGATTTCAAATGCACTTGTGGTAAACCAAGGCAGTACCACTTTCTATGTTCTCATTTGGTGGCAGCAGCTAGGCATTGCAACTATAATATCGAGAGGAGGATACCTCATGAGTTCAGTGTCGACACGCTTGTGCACACATGGAGCCGCCGCTTCGTGCCTTTCCAGGACCCTAGAGAGTGGCCTCCATATGATGGGCCGAAGTACATTATGGGTCCAGCTTACCGTTGGAACAAGCGTGAATCAAGGCAGAGGACGAGGCACAGGATGGTTATGGATCATATGTTCGGAAGAACGAGGTGTGGGAGAGGAACTCCATTTGTTACTGACCCCAAGCAGTACGAGTGCGGCAAGTGCGGTAGACTTGGCCACAATTCATGAAGTTAGCAACGCGATTATATTACATTTAAAATCAGGCAACGAAATAAAAGGCTTTCAAGCACTCACTGGCACATAATGCAACAACATGCTCGTTCAAGACATGCATCTGTACTCTTGTCTCCTCCCTTGCCTCATTCCTTGTCCTCTCCTACTCTAACATCATCCGTCTCTCCAATCCCCATTTGTTAAGCCCAACATCGATCGGGTTACAAATACCGCGTTGTCTAGCAAACTCACGCATCTTTTCTTTGTGATGTTTAACGAATAGGTTGACATAGTCAGGTCCATATCCCCTCTTCCGTGCAATTACTTGCCTCTTCTTCAGTTCATTCAAGAACTTAGCTTGACCATCATAACATTCCCACCTGCATTTCTTAGTGCTCTGTTCAAACAAAAAATTATATCATATATGTCTTAGCAAAAGAAACAAAATACGATTTCATGTTTACCACAAAAATAACCAACCTCATCGTACTCAACCATATGGCCGCAATAATAGCCTATTCCAAGCTCCGAAGGTACTAGGCCATAGTTGGATTTAACACCATATTCGCACATGACAGGAGGTGCTTTGTAAATTACCCTTTCTTTCTTCTTTTCCTTAACCTTTTGTGATTCTTCCGGATTGGTTCTTAGGACCATACAACCACTCCTTGAAATGACACTTCGCCATTGAAACCACCTAAATAAGTAGATATTAGTACATGAACACATATAGCTCAACATTTCAACACATACACTTTGCACTTACTTCATGCTTGTTTGGACACACAAACTCCAACGTATTCTCAGGGTTTATCACAGCTCGATCTCCACAATCGCACAGAGAAGGTTCCTCGAGTCGTCTAACTGCGGCTAGGTGCTTCTCCTTAACTGTCATTGGTGGAGGGTTAGGGGGGTGGAACCCACCGCTTGAAGTGCTCACGTGGATGTCTCCCTCTAAATCAATCGTCGAAAAGGAGGTACGCAGGATCAAACTTGTCTGCACCATCAATCCACTGAAAGAAAAAGCATCTCTCATGGTCCTACACAATGAGATTCCAACAAAATATTAGTAGCATACTTACACAAATAAAGAAAAAGGATAGTGGAAATAATTTCTTACATTAAAACGACTGCATGTGTAGAAGCAACGCGCCGCTGTGTCTGGATGTTTCGATTGAAAACATGGGCCGGGAAACCACAGTCACAGTTAGGGACAGGAAGGTCAGGAGGGACGGAGACATCTTTGCTAGACACGTCGAGGTATAATTCTCGAGGATGACCCCGTTTTCGCCAAAACTCCTCCCGAAATATTTCTTGCATCTAACAAAACAGATGTAATTTAACAAACAAAAATCAAAACATCACAAATAAATGTCAATGCGAACCATAACTACAATACAACCAATTTCATTCTAAGAACCGAAAGTAATTAACATTAAACCCTAAACCTAGGGTTTCCCATTTGATGCACAGCAATGAACCCATAATATAACTACGTGCACCTAGGTTTGCTAGCTTTTCCACGCCTTGTATAATACATATATTGAGGGATAGAATGAAACCCTAAGTAATGACGATTCTTAAGTTCAAAAATCCGACTAATATATACCGAATCGATGCGAAAAAAACTAGGAGGAGAACGAGGATACCTTACTCTCGAAGATCTACGGATCAAATCAAAGTTTCCAAGGTCCAATTGCCGATTCGTGAGGTAGGGTGAAGTGGGGAGAGAAAAAACCCGAGAGGGAGGAGAAAGAAGAGGAAGAACGCTCGGGCAGGAAGGTTGGGGCGGGGTTAAAATAAAGGCTCAGCGCCAAGATCTACGGTGGCGAGCTTTCTGCCATGTCACCTTCGAGCCCAGGAGCTCGGCGCTAGGGACGCCGGCGCCGAGACATGTTATCTCGGTGCCCGCATCAATGGCGCCGAGCTAAGGGTCCAGATTCTAAAATCTTTCCTTTAGGGTCTATTTGTAAGAAACTTTTAAAAAATGGCTAAAAAGTAAAAAATTTGGTCGCCCCCACCCACCGCCTGCGCCACCGCGCGTGGAGCGGAAACGATTGGGGGAAAAAATGTGGTGGCAATGTTTCTATTCTGCGGACCCATTAGCGTGGCGGCCCGTTAGCGAACCAAACAGCCGCACGAATCTCAAAACAAATCAACGGCCCAGAATCTGACAGATAGAAAATAAGAAAATCTGTTGACAGATAAATAGCAAAATTCAAAAATGATTTAGGACAAAAATAAAATGGCTCACAGTTTGAACTTTGAAATTTGGAACGGGGGAAAGTACAACAGAAGTCAATTTTTGAGGTAACACTAACACGTCTACTCGGGGCCCTCCTCCCTCTCTCGTTGCCGCAGCAGTCGAGAGTGCATCCTGGCCAGCGTCTCCCCGAACCTGGCGAGGTCCAGGCTCACGTTCTGCCCGTTGAGGTACACGCGGCCGACGAAGTCCCAGTCCCAGTCCCCCTCATCGGTGCTCCCCTGCCTCCGCTTCGCCCTCTCTGGGTCGGCCACGACGACGTGCTCCGGCGAGTACTCGCGGCTCAGCGAGCTCTCGCGCCGTGCAAAAACTGGGTCCTGCCGTCGTGCTCCGCTCGTAGTTTGCAGCCCCATCCATATTTCTTGGCCGGCGTGCCGAAGAGGTTGCGCGATGTAAATCTGGGTGAGGCCCAACGGTTCATTGCGATATATGAGCGAAAAAACGCCCCGCTGCCGGGACGCAGGAACAGGAAGCTGGTCAGGTCCGAGCCGTGCACGCCCACCAGCGCGTCATGCGCGCGCACCCACGCGTACACCGCCGAGAGCAGCGGCGGTGGCGCCATGGCGTTGCCGTTGCCCGTCTCCAGGACGTCGACGTCGAACCCGACCGATGCCTCGAGCTCCGCCACGGCCGCCTGGTTCTCGATCACACGGGTGCCCCTGCGCGACACGATCCCGAGCCTTGGCCTCCGCGGATGATGTTGACGTGCTCTCTCCACCGGCTCGCCGCCGCCGCCGCCTTGGGATTGGGACAACGGCTCGTACACGCCGGCGAGAAAGCGGTGGAAGTCCACGATGGTCTTGTTGTCCCGGAGCCGTGCGGGGTCGACGGCGAGGTAGCCGTGGAAGCGGGTCCCGACGATGGCGCCCGGGAAGCAATGCGTCCTCGTGTCCCTGAGCAGGTCGATGACGGGGTAGCCCGACAGGCCGGAGATGACCTCGCGGTACGCGCCGGCCCACCGCGGGCTGTACGAGAGCACCGCGAGCACGACGCGGCGGCGGAGGTGCTGCACCGTCACCCACGACGGCAGGAACCCGTCGTTGAACGCGTGGAAGTAGTTGCCGTTGTATCCCCCCGCCGTCACGACGTGGACCGGCGCGTCGTGCCGGACGTCGCACCGGTGCGCGGCGCCGGCAGCCTCCTCCCCCGGCCGGGCCACACGGAGCCGCACCTCCTGGATATCGCCCATGACCTTGCCGTCCCACTTGCGCGTGTAGGGCCGTATCCGCTCCTCCTCCGCGGTGGCGCCGGCCGCCGGCGACCGCGCCCGCGGCGGGAACAGCAGGAGCGACAGGGACGCGGCGTCCGTGCGCACGTCGCCGGACATGAAGCAGACGTCGGCGTTCTCGTCCGAGCGGTCGCAGCAGATGGTGTGGTCGGGCAGCGACGAGCACGGGGAGTGCACCTGGTTGTCAAGACGAGCCAGAGCGCCGGCGTTGCCGGCACCGCGCGGCCCGAAGAAGCCGGCGGCCCCGTACGGGACGGGCATGGGGAAGCCCGAAGCGTAGAGGAGGATGCACAGGATCACGGCGGAAAACACGGCCACGAACAGCCATTTGCCCTTGTTCTTGTCGGCCGCATCCCCCATGGCCGGCGGCCGGCGGCCGGAGTCCAGGCCTGAGGTAGCTAGAAAATCTTTTCAACCTGCTTGCTCGACGAGAGGAACGAACATTAAACATATATAGGACGTGGTCTAGCTATCAGTAAACTTGTGGGAGCGGATAATCCCACAAAAATTAAAAAAAAACTATTTCTGTGAAAGAATACAAAACATGAACAACCAATAGTTTCTCGCAAGACCTAGGAAACCCGTGAATTCAAGAAGGTCCATTTATCAACTCTAGAAGATGAATTTTGTTAGAGTACACTAAAGACCAGGGTACTAATAGGATGCACCAACGAATCTTTCATAAGGATTCCTCCGGAGGAGCTAGAGTCGTTTTAGAAAAATGGCACCAAACTGCTCCTCCTACTAAATCGTTAGGCAGGGCTTCTCCATAGGAGCCGGAGCTGAAGAGGAGCCCTACCAAACGGGGCATAACTATGCTATAGTTTGTCCATGTGCGCACCCCATAAAAAGAGAGATGATTAGAAAAATAAATCACCTTCCATTTTTGGTCTTACCTACTGCCACTAGCCTCGACCACTACCCTCGTTGCTAGCGGCAATCTCGTTGCTCAACCCACCCACCTCCTCCCATTGCCCCTCCAAGCTGCCTTAGCTAACTGGAGCCGCTTCTCGCCCTTGCCTTGACACCGCGACTGACTGTGCCCTTGCTGCTTCTCCTCACCCTACCGCCCACCGTTGAGTGACTGCTACCCTGACATCCCTTTATAACTGCCAGACACCCCAAATCCCTAACACCTAAGGCTCTAACCCTAAATCCAACTATTCTTCTTCAACTCCAGGCACTGCTGTGCCCCCCGTTTGATAGGAAGAGGGAGAGAGGGAAAGAGGCATCCTACCTACCATCACCACCTCCTCCGCTACCATTAGCGTCGGAGCACTATCGATTCGAAGAGCTCGATCCGTGCCTACATGCTAAAGCTCGCTCACATGGTGATGAATTTGGCGGGGAGCACGAGGGATGGGAGGGGGCGAGGATGAAGCGGCGATCTGATAAGTGTTAGTGTTTGGCAGGAATGGCCGACACTAATTTTTTTTTAAAAAAAAACACGAACACTATACATTGACATAAATAAGAGGAAGTAATTACTACTATTAATTATTAATAGTATAATGTATCATGCTAGCTAGAGATACTTATACATGTGGAGGAATTTTGCCTGCTAAAAATGCTTACATTCCTAAGTGGAGGGAGTAGTACCATAATCTTTGTGTTAATTGGAAGGTTGCTAATTAGTTGGCACATTTACTGGTGTATGGGCTCATTGGGGGCTGTCACTTCATTCCCTATAGATATGTTGTAGATGTCCTGGTTCATTCACCCAAGGATGTGAAAATGTATAAAGTTATACGTAAACGTAGCATGAACTTCTGCATAAAGTTTACTTGCAATTTACATAAAAAGCTAGTAAGCTACTATAACCAACAACAATTTTCAGGAGAAACAACTTGCCAGAAAGAAAACTAGCTAAAAGGAACTGGGAAGATGTGAAAATGTATTGTCAAGTTAATGTCTTCTAGGTCGATTTTTAAAACTTGCAAATCCTTTTATAACTTCTGAGTTCCAGCTTCCCTTTTTTCCTTTAGGCAACTTAACTATGTGTGACCAGTTTGTACTAAGGTAGTAACTCCAGTCAAAATATTTAGTAGGAACTTATGTGAGGATAATGTGATAGCTTAAGATTTGCATACAAGAGATTTCTTGTATGAATGAGCTTTAATCAATAACTTGTATTATATCAACAACAATCATTAGTATTTGGTAGCAAATTATTATGTAGAAATTTTACTATCAAGGTTACTTATAACTTGCAAGCACCGTTGCACTAAACTTACCATTAGACATGAATATATTTACAAAATATATACAATGTGGATCTAGTTTTGTAGATCTTGTCAGTCATAGAAAACGCTAGTAACATGCAAATAATATAATATATAGTAGATTGAACTAGTACGGACATCACATGTTTTGACGTCACATGCATGCTAATCTCAATTCTCAACCCCAAAAGCAAGAAAACCAAAAAAATTTGGCTCTACTTGTACAATTCATTATAGATGCTTCCTAGTGAGCTGCTTCAGTTGCGGTGGGCTTGATCGGGCCAGGAGGCGGGAGGCCCATCGCCTCACGCGCCCGCGGTCAGTAACGGCCCATCTAATCCACACAGCAGGCCAGCAACGGGTGCACCTGTGGGCTGTGTCTGATCCAACAAACCAACTATCTCTAACCCAATCCAATCCTTCATGTTCCTTTTTCATGGTCAGTTGATTATATCATGGTCGACAAAGCCAATTTTTAATGGTCAGTTGATTATATCATGGTCGACAAAGCCAATGCAAAACTGGATAGGGGTCGAAAAATTATTGGTATTATATTACTGGTTGGAAACGACTGATTCACAGCATGGGCCTAGGGTGGCGGCTAACTTTTCAGGTCACCGGGGAGACGACTTCACTTTGAGCCACTGGAGTGCAGAATTATTAAGTGACGAATGAAGAAAGTGGGCAGATGAGAAGGGTGAGACAACTAGACAAGGCAAGCCATCAGCTACCCCCAGCATGGGCAAATCTGACCTTTCTCTGTCCGGATAGAGACGTCTGAGTCGCCGCGCATCAAAATCCAGCCACCGCAGCTACCCCAAGCAGCCATCCTTACCAATCTTTCCAGGTCAGAAAAACTAAGAAACATTGCAGCATATCAACTCGGTCATCATCCTGACCAGGCACTGCACCACTCCACCTCTCCACCAGTAGCAAGCTGTAGTGGCGAGCAGGACCTGTGAACAGAGATCAGAAAGCAACAGCACAGGCGCATCTCCTCTCCACACCTTTCACCATACTAGCTCATAGTCACAATAAATCCCTAGGTGACTGTGACATGAAAAATACCCATGCTAATGCTATATGGTGGAGTATTCTAGTCGCAGAAAGCATACGGAAACAGAGCAGCAAAGCCGGAACAGGTTGATGGTTTCCCCACCGATGAGCCGCCTCGTGTCTCACCGGGGCACGCTCCTGAAGATAAGAATGATTGCCTCTCCCACATAACGCCACAATATGAGTGCGATATGTCTGTGCGTCACTTGTGGAGCAGAGGGAGTCAACTTCTGAAAGGAAAACAAATACAGGAAACATTCTGAATATTGGAAGAACAGCTAGCTTGCTTCTTCGTTATTAATGTTCTTAGTATCTATTTACATTGGACTAGCCACAAATGTACAGGACTCAAAGCAGTAACATAGTTGAGTCTTCTACGTACACCCAGCCAGGCAGGAAGCAACTCAGCCAAACAAGCCCAAGCGAACAGGGCGTATATCCGCCAGGGCCATGGATGTTGGTCAGCAGTCAGCAGCCACACTCCAGGTGCTGCTGTTTCTCAATCCTGGCAGATGCCACCGCTACAACTGCTATATTACTTGCTACATGTTTCCCAATTCCCATAACAGGTCGCTGCAGGTTTTCCAACAGGCCTATCTGGACATCTTAGCTCCACAGCTTAAAAACCTCGCAGACCATGTACCCCTACTAATCGTGCCTACCCAAAAATATAGTCGGTTTTGGTTCAGATGCTACACACGAGTATTATGCGTTGGAATGATTGTTACTATCATAGCTGTTCTGCTGATGATGCCTCGGCCCTTCTCCGCATACAAGCGCCCCACGACAGGTTCTCTTCTGAATCCTTTGTCGTGCTCCTCCTCTTCAGCTCTGCAATCTGGTCTTCCCAGGACCTTCTCCAGCCAGATTTCCCTTCCTGCTCCTGTGGGCCACATGGATAACAGATCTGTGAGGAAAATCCAAAACAGAGCTTCTGGGACTGGAAACTTAGAAAACAGAATAACAAATGATGGCCTTCCACATCATGAATGATTCTCCTGTGCGACTTTTGTATAAGCCATCAAAATCGGAAGATAAGATTGCTACAGCAATTCTCAATCTTACACGTAAGGCAACGCCTTTTGAATTATTTCACAGATGATCTTTTGTTTGACACGCATGAAAACGACTTCTCCAAACTCTTCTGCATGTTGCGATCCACTCATTATCAGCGTCCTATTTGTACTGTTTTTGTATCATGGAAAATTCCTGGCCATTACCTATTCGTAAGTATCTCGCATCAGAGCAAAATTATGTTCATTGATTTTATGTGAAACAAAATGGTAACTCCTGGCTCATATTTATTTTTTGTATGTAGTAGTTAATACGCCAATCTTTGAAGCACCGTAGAGTTAAAGGCAGCCTTTGAGCACCCAATATTCACAGTGAGTCACAAACCATAAGAGACGTTCCTAAAAAATCCATGACTGTCATCAAATTCAGTCATTCACTGTTGGATGAATCAGTCATCTTATGTCGAGCTTCTGAATCCACATATAAATGTCATGCCAATGCCATGACATGAAAATAATATCTTGATGAGTGTTTATAGTTGCATAGACAGAAGATCATCGTGCTAAAGTCAACATAAATATGACTATTGGCAGGCCAAACAGGGAATTATTTATGAACTACAAGCATCAATGCGAAAGCCATGCTTCAACAAACACATCAATCAGGGGGGAATCCAGATCCACAATTTTGTAAAGGTCGCAGTTCACTCATGATGCATATGTTTGAACTCCTATCAAGGACTGTAGCTGAAACAACTAGATTTTTTCAAATGACAGATTAAGTACTAATAGGAGCCAGATCGTACATCCCTGAAGAACTGATGAGTCCTCTCAGGTACAGATCAAGGATCTGAAGTCTGCAAACACCCCCTGTGGCCTCGATTAGAATACGGACAGATTTCAGGGTGAGAGACGTTTGCTGAACGTTCGAGCTCAACAAAGTTCAGCAAATTCGCTTCACAGTATAATTAGGCATAATTCAACACATATTTTTCCTCTGACTATGCCAGTAGGTTCCTTTCCAGTTCAACAGAATCATAAATAAAAGAAGCTAAGGATCCCAGCATCAATCCAACAGCGCCACAAATCAATCTTAATCTGACTACGAGAATCGTAATCCTGACTACTGACTACGAGATCACATCTCTATCGATCGGATTGGCACGCAATGCAACGCCATGAAGAAAGCACCAAGTAGTACCCAAGTAACAAGTGAGGAGAGCAGTGATCCACACCTGGTGGTGGTGGTAGTAGTAGGCGCGGTGGGATTGGGAACGGCGCCCGGAGAAGGCGAGGCGGCAGACGCCGCGGGCGAGCGCGAGGTCGTAGCTGGCGCGGCGGCTCGGGTCGGAGAGCGTCTCGTAGGCCTCCTGCACCTCGATGAAGCGGCGGGTGTTCTCCGCCGCGGCGCCCGGCGGGGACACGTCCGGGTGGTACTTGAGCGCCAGCCGCCTGTAGGCGGCCCGGACCTCGTCGGGGCTCCCCTCCGCCGAGATCCCGAGCAGGTCGTAGAACGTCCGCGATGCCGTCTGCTCCTGCTCCTCCGTGCGCACGCCGCCGCCGTCCTCACGACGGACGCCCCGCGCGAGCACGCGCAGGCGCGGCGTGTTCCACGGGCGCCGGAACGCGACGCGGCCCGCGGCCGTGGCCTGCGCGGTGGGGACCGCCGCGGCGGCGGCGGCGGAGGAGGAAGTGGGGGGAGTGGCGGCGAGGTGGGGCATGTGTGGTTTCCTTGCTGGGCTTCGCTTCCTGGTTTTGGTTTCTCAGTTGGGTGGGTGCGGACGACGCTTTGCTTTCCGCAGCTATGCTATTAAGCGCCAACCGCCAAGAAAATGTATCTTTTAATTAAGATATTATAATACAAAAATCACCCACTTTCAGTACGAAACAGACGTTGTACCACCACACCAGCGGCGACCGTGTAAAAGATATGATATTTTTTTCTGATAAAAAAATCTTGTCGCGTGGAAATTGCTTTGTTTCATATGATATAAACATAGTATTCCAGCCCGGCTGAAAGATGAGATATTTTCTGCTCAAATGTTTATCCTCAAGCTCCACCACTGTTTGCAAGAAGAAAAAAAAGGCAAAATTTACCACCCCAACACTCCCTAAACCATGTATATTTTTTGTTAGCCCCCTCTATATTTATCCTCAAGCTCCACCATTATATTGTTTACAAGAAAAAAGACAGAATTTTCCATTGCATTCTCAACATAAAAAACATGGGAAAAATATTCACTTATTGTTTCTTGACTCGAGCGGAGGACCGAGGCAAATCCCTACTCGTCTGTGCTGGTGGTTGTCTTCCCACATCGGTGCTAACGATTTATTTGGTTTGTAGGTGGGAACTTATTTATTGTATTGGTTTTCTTTTGTGTTGTGATTTTTTTCTATATGAAGTTTATTTCTTTAGGGATATACGAGCATGGTTAATTAACACTCTAATTAAATTTATGTTTTTCTATACATCCATTCAAACACCCATTCCAACAATATTTATGTGTTTTCCGAGTATACTTTTTCCATATGTTTCCCTATTTATTCTTGTTTTTTTTTTTTATGTTTCAGCATTTTTCCAATCTAGCATTCCAAGAAGGCCTTAGACTCTTGTCCCTTAAAAAACATAGTGTGAGAAAGAATTATCCTATTTCAATGAAAGAAGCCTTCACTCCAATAGTCCTCTTATTTTCTTTTGTTTTATGGGTAAAACTATCATAAAATTTCCTCACAACACAATGTATAATCGAACAAGAAGTAAAGAAAAAACAAACGCAACACAAGGATGGCCTTTTGACTTTTATTGGTTAAATGGCATTATTGTGCATAGGCGATAGGAACCTCTTTGCCCTCTTATATATGGGCTATTGGGAAAGTGTTTAATTTTCTTCACAGCCAACTAAGCGAAGAGATTTAAGCAAAAAGTAATATTCACAAACTTGAGTGGATCCAAAGATGACATAAGTATTGCCTTAAAGGTCTTCGAAATTGACTTTTAAGTGGTACGGGTGTCACGTGTGATTTCAATTAGAAGTTATTCAAATCAGGACGCATGCTAGCAAAACATTTGATCAGGAACATAAAGTCAATATTACTGAGCTTGTCATTATAAAGATTTTCACGATATTCATCATATATGACACCTATTTGGGATAGCATAATTTAATAGAAATCATTTTCAGAAAATATATATATGAGATTCTGGCTTTACACGTCCTCTTCCAGGATGCATCGGACCACACTTATTATCTACTATGGGTTTGTTCACTGGTTGGTGCTGGTGCTGGTTTGGACTGGCTGATGCTAATATTTTATGAGAGAAAAACACTGTTGACTAGCTAGTTTAGGCTGGTTGAAACCAACAAACGAACAGTCAATATAATCCCACCAACCTATTTTTCTACTATTTGGTGAAGCCACGTCATCAAGGTCCCACCACCACAATTCTGCAGCAGCCGAAGCCCCTCACGGCTCACCCTGGGCATTCGGTCAGACCGAATCGATCGGTTCGGTTCCTCGGTCATTCGGTCAGTTCGGTCATCAGAAACCTGGGACCGATCGGTCTTTGCAAAAAACGAAGACCGAGGAAGTTCGGTCTCGGTTAGTTCGGTTCGGTCTCGGTCACGACCGAACTAACCGGACCTGAGTAGCAGCCACAAACAATAGCAGAATCTATAGCAATTTTCAACAGCATGCTTGCTATTTGAAGGCAAAAAAATAACAACACAATATATAAAACAAACCACACATTATTATGACAAGTTCTAGCACACAACTTTCTTAGTTCTCACAAATCACAATCACACATAATGACATTACGAACGAAGTCTACAGAACTACGGTCAGTTCGGTCACTTCGGTTAACCGACACATATGACCGAACTTCTATCGGTTACTTCGGTTAGTTGGGAGTCAGGACCGAACTTATGATCGAACTTTTCGGTCTCAATCTTTTTGGTCTCGGTCTCGATCTTTTCGGTTCGGTCTTCGGTCTTCGGTTAATTGTGCCCAGAGTTACTCACGGCCATGAGCGCACATCTGCCTGTTCACCTTTATGCTGTTGCATGTTGGCTTTTACTGGCAACCCACAGTGGCCATAAATGCACCTGATTGAAGCATCTAAGGGGCGTGTTTAGATGCAAAAATTTTTAGGTTTTGGTTACCGTAGCATTTTCGTTTGTATTTGATAATTAGTGTCTAATTATGGACTAATTAGGTTTGAAAGTTTCGTCTCGCGATTTCTCACCAAACTGCGCAATTAGTTTTTTTTTTCGTCTACATTTAATACTCCATACATGTGCCGCAAGATTCGATGTGATGGTACTATACAAAATTTTTAAGAACTAAACAGCCCTTAAAAAAAACCTGAACAGACATTTCTGCGTTTCTGCCCATCGGTCTCCCTCCGTCTGCCCATCTTCTCCGAGTACCCCGTTCGGCTTACTCCGTACCCGGTCTGTTTAACTTTTTTTTTAATCAAAATAGTGTTTTTTTTCACAACATTTTAACCAAAACAGTATTTTCAGCTAATTTCAGCCAAGATTCAGCGAGGATACCAACCTTCTCAATGACAATTCGGCAAGGCATGTTCATATTTGTTGTCTCTTACGTAGCCATCCTGAAACCTGCATAAGACTAGATTGCTAGCTGCACCAAGCTAGCATAGATGATATCCACGACCTACTCAGTGATATACAGCTAGCAAGTCTACATGGAGTTTGTTGTCAGTCATTAGTAATTTAGATTTCTATACTTCTTGCTTTCAAATTTAGGTAGTATAATTTTTGTTCCCATTTGTGCAATTTCCAGTCATCAGGTCAGTCCGTGAATGATTTTTCTGACCCTGACCCTGATAAACTCCAGCAGGTGATGCCGATGGTTCTACTTCTTGCACTAGGAAAGCTTTCATACGCTACTTTTTCCTCATCTCCTACGAGAGTTACAGCTTCTGTGGGGGTATTTGGATGCCTTTTTCTTATGTCACATGCATCTTTTCTTAATCAAGAGATAACTAACCATTTTCAATTGAAGATGTTTTGTCAGATTTCTCGGTTAGTAAAGATGTCTTCCACGACTGGAGATTTTATGCCAAAATCAGGAAGAAGCCAAGGATTATTTCACAATGGGGTATTTCTCTCTGCATATAGAGAAGAACAATTACTTACTGAAGATGCCATTAGAATTTATCATTGCACCAAGTTCAGTATTTTAGTGCTGGCAACATAGACATTCACAGTTTCCCAATAGTTAGTATCTCAAAGGCTCTTACAATTTATTGTCCTGTCTATCAGTACACACAATTGTGATGTCAATGCCACATGTGCTGAATTTCTGAACATAACACCTTTTGTTTTGTAATTAAACTGTGATGAACTTTCTACAATGATTTAAAAAAACAGTGAACCAATAAGATGATATTATTTTCTCATTTTGGGCGTACCCAGTGCAGAGAGCTCCCGCTCTGTGCGGGGTCTGGGGAAGGGTGTTAGTGGCAAGCCTTATCCTCGCCTGTGCAATGCGAGGAGACCGCGACTCGAACCCGGGACCTTCCGGTCACAGGCAGTAAGACTCTACCGCTTACCAGGTCCGCCCTTCATATTATTTTCTCATTTTATTTCATAATATTATCCATTGTTTATATGAAATTCTCCCTCAATTCTACCGCTACTCTCTATGCTATCATGGTGGATGCTACATATAAAGTCTCAAGCTCCATAAATCCTCTCCCCCTTTATATCACTGTGATTCCCCTCAGCAATGCTGGGGTATCAGCTAGTTCCAAGAATGAAGCTAGCATTACCAACAAAAGCACATGTCCAAGGTACATTAGACTAAGATATTAAAATGTCAAAACACATTAATGATATATTTAAGATGAACTAGAACAAACAAAAAAAAAAAAGGATCCTTCTAAAAGTGTATTGGTGAACAAACCCATATCTTTCGATCCGGATCCAAACAAAATGATCCAAGGAATTCTCTTGTCCCTCTTATCCACCTTTTCATTTGGCTAAGGGGGTGTTTGGTTCTTTAGTCGCTCCTAAAATTCATGTCACATCGAATGTTTAGATACTAATAAGGAGTATTAAATATAGATTAATTACAAAACCAATTACATAGATGGAGGCTAATTTGCGAGACGAATTTTTTAAGCCTAATTAATTCGCCATTAGCACATGTTTACTGTAGCACAACGTTGTCAAATCATGGACTAATTAGGCTTAAAAGATTCGTCTCGCAAATTAGTCGCAAGTTGTGCAATTAGTTTTGTAATTAGTCTATATTTAATACTCCATGTATGTATCCAAACATTTGATGTGACAGAAATTTTAAGAACTCCTGTAGAAACCAAACAGGCCCTAAAACTAATTGGATCTAACATAATCAAAGTCAACTCAGGAGACATGAGGGTGCACTGTTCCTCACACATCACACCAAACATTCTGATTACATTTGGTTATATATTCACATGTGTACTATCTGTGCGCTTACATTTTGCATTGTTGCTTGTTTTAACTGTCTGTTCATAATAGCCCTGTTCTTCGTAGCAGTACTTTTCAGAAAAAAAACAATATTTTTATCTCACAAGAAATCTTAACAGCTAAATTTCAGCGAAACGAACATGGCCTGATGGCTGTGGACATGCACCGTGAAACGGAGATGAGAATATATAGGATCTGTACGTAATTCATGGCCGTGGATCGATCAGCTCACAGCGCGC